GGTGTGGTGGGACTCCAAGGTGCGGGCTCAACCGTGCCATCCACCTGCGGCCTCCCTCGTCTCCGGTCTTCTTGACTCTGTCTTGACACCGGGCTCAGGCGGGAGAGGTGGTGAAAGTGTAGGTAGATGCAGCGCAAGTCTACTGGCACTATAAACCCCTGCGCAAGTCACCGTCCCTGCTCTCACCTCTGCTGAAGTGGGGCACACGGTGGACATAATCGAAATCGATGGTCAAACTGTCGTGTGTGTGGGCTGAATGGCTTGTGGACTGTGAGTCAGACCCAATGGTTCCTTCTTAATGTGGCCTCTATGGCACCCTCACAAACGTGAGACTGGAACAACCAATTAGTTTGCGAAGACGTAGGACACGTTGCGGGAGCCAGGTCGTGTGTGTGACACGCCCAGACGGAATGTTTGACTTTGCCAGCCACTGATCCCTGCATCATCCTCGGTCGCCTTGATGTTGTCATACAACCTGATTCCGGTAGGTGAGGGAGGTGAGAGTGCGACAAATGACGCGAAAAACTGTCGCACTATAAACTAGTTCGCACCCGAGTCGCCGTTGCTGCTTCCATTCCGCAGTGCAGACGATGGACGTTGTCGCTCGCGACGGTGGAATTGTCACATACAGAGCGAGGACCAGATCTTGCGTGACAGGGATACGCAGATTCTTTATTTTTGTCAGCCACTGGGCTCGAGCCCATCTCTGGTGGGCGAGCAAGGAGAGAGTGCGGGGGACGTTGAGCAAGTCTAATCCATTAGAAATTAATTAATTTGCTGATAGAAGCGGACAGGCGAGTTCCAGGTAGCAGTTCAGAAGACGAAGATGCGATCACTGGAACAAGAAATCTTCTTCTTCGTCTTCTGAACTGCTACCTGGAACTCGCCTGCTCGCTTCTATTAGTAATCTTTTTGGGCGCGTAGCACTCCGATCGGCTCGACGGTGGGAAACCTTTGCCCTTCCGGAGTCATCTACATATGCGCAGATTCGATTTCTGCACAGGTGTCTCGACAATAATATGCTGCCGAAGTGCGTTTCATACAAACCTCCGGTCAACACAGAGCTGGCGAGACGCGCAGTACTTCAGCACGGCCGACGAATGATCCGAGGGCTCCTTCAAGACTGTCACTCACGGATTCGCAAATACCGTCAGAGGATTGACCAAGAGAAAGCAAGGTGCTGCGAGTTCATGGTCGACGACGGTATAAAACTGCTTCAGCAGAGGCAGGCCGAACGAACCCGCGAACATAAAGCAACGCGCGAAGCAGCCCTAGAGGGCAAGTTTCGTAAGCTGTCTGCTTCAATGTCATCCAAGAACGACAAACTGGTGCACAACTTGTCGTCAAAGGAGCTGACGGAGGAACAAATGCAGGTTTTACGGCATGAGGCCTCATTCAACGCAGCCGATGCCAAACCTGTCAACACGATCGTAGCACTGGAATCAATCCTCAGCCAGACGGGAGCGACAGACGAAACGAAGAACCTCGTTCGACACCAAGTGTCCTCCCTCCTCATGGCTCATAGGCCGCGCGACGTGCTTTCCAAGGTCGAGAGCGATGCACTTAAGGCACTCAGGGCCGACAAAGACCTCGTTATCGTGCCTGCGGGCAAGGGGCGTTCAGCGGTCGTATTGGACAGGACAGACTACCTTCAAAAAGCCAAAGGTTTGCTGGAGGACCGACAGTTCTATGTCCCATGCGAATCCAACCCCATGAAAACGCTGACACGCGAGATTAGTGCGACGCTGTTGGCAATGGAGAACTCAGGTGCAATATCGCCAATCGACCGACGCATGGCGAGAGCACAAGAAACGGCCCTAGCCCGATTCTACGGTCTCCTAAAAGTGCACAAAGAGGGCGCTCCTCTCCGGCCTATCGTATCACTAAAGGACACTCCAACCTACGGACTGGCAAAGTGGCTGTTCCAACCTCTCAGGAGTGAGTCTCCTGCCAATTTACGATGGAGGAGGAGGAAAACAATCAGCTGACCTTCCTAGATGTCCTTGTCTACCGCAAAGATTGTGGTGGACTAAAGACCAAAGTGTTCAGGAAAGCGACAAATACGACGCAAAT